CACCAATCAGAAGGAAAAGCAATGAAAACATCAGGGTTTTCTGACGTTTCACTTCCGGGTCAGTTTCAGCAAAGACCTGCAGTGGTAGAAGAAAATGAGCATGACGTCTCATGTATAAACTCCACCAGGAAGGTCAGTGACTTATTCTTCATGAAGTCTATAAATTACTCACCCCAATTATTTTTGCAAAGACAATAGCGAGGCAGGGATAGACGGCTCCGCCCACTAAACTGGCAAGCACCCCAATCACCAAATAAGGCCACTCCGGCTTATTCAAAGCTAAAATTCTTTTGAATGGAACTTCTGGGACCTTCTCTTCCTCCTACAAAAAAGAAAAAATAAATCCACATTTAAAGGGGCAGATTGAAGTCTGTGTATTGTTTGGACAGAAAAAAACTGCTAACGTGTTTCTAAAAACCTTGATTCATCTTGTAGGATTCCACTGAATAAGCTTGGCACCTTAACTGACATTAAGTATACCTTATTCTCCTTATCTGCAGGTTTCTTGAGAAACTTCTTCTTCTTCTTCTTCTTGGAAGATCTCCGCCGGAAGCTGCCTGTATGCCTCAGAGAGACGTTCTGGGATGTGCCATGTTCTTCTACATCATTGTTTAGAATTTCTGCATAGACTGGGCCCTCCTCAATGGACTCCTCCTCCACATCCTCATCAAACGAGTCGTCTTCACTTGACTCACTTGCATTTTCTGCTTTACCTGAATTCTGTAAACGTGTCAATAGTTAATGTTAGTTTATGTAATTATTTTAGAGGAGGCTGTGTAACATTGCATAGTTAAGTACAGCACTGGAAAAAAAAAAACATTAATGTTTCAGATTTGTTAATACAAATACAACTGTTTTCAGTTGGTGGTTTGCAGCAATTTCTTTTATAACATAAGAGTTGAGCTTGAATCTTGGTAGCTACCTGCTGCATGACTAATGAGTAGTAGACCCCCTTCAAGGCCATGAGCTGGCTGTGGGTTCCCTGCTCAGTCACCACACCGTCACTGAAGCCCGCGATGATGTCGGCCGTCTTGATAGTCGACAGGCGGTGAGCGATGATTATCGTCGTCCGGCCGGCCCGTGCCTTGGAACGACAGTCTAGGTCATTATCAAATAATGTGATTTTTGACCTAATTAGTCACTACAAAGTTTTGTTTGCATCATTACCTCATCATTAATATATTTATTACATTTTTCACCATTTGCACCTGTCATATTAACTGCATTTTTAGTTGTATACAATGCTAGCTGGACAAGTAGTTTCTTGCTTAGGTCAGTGTCTGTTCATTTTTGTTCTGCACCATAGGTGTATTGATAACTGCCGCACACTTCCTCCCATGGATGCACGGCCATCATTCCATGCCTTTTTACTCTAGGGCGGGGCAAAATGGCAACAAAAAATGAGTCCCTTTTGGTATATTGTGCCAATCACAACCACCAATGAAATTAACAGTGCATTATCCATTACTTATGTCCTGCAATCGAGCTGGAAATAAGCTGAGATCGACAGATGGGTTTGGCAGCCCTGGTATATCAGCTCTGTTATTCAGGGGATGGGAAAGGAAAACCGGCCCAAACCTGCTGACGGCCAGACTATGCGTGCTGCAGGAGCTGCTGGCTACTATGAGTAAGGTAGCATATTTAGCAGTGAGCGCTATCTGCTCCAGGTAGCTTCCTAGCTATGCTAATGCAATGCACTAGGGATTGAACCCAGATTCCATGCTGCTGGGTCCTTTGATGGGTGCCTCAGTAGGGAGCAGGTTAGGTTTCTACATTGGTAGGGACCAAATCAGCCCCGGACCCCCCACTCCATTAAACACATACAGTACTCCTAAAAAACTGGTATGGACATGTCCTTACCGTCCATACTCAAATCTATGTGCTTGATGGCGAGGACCCATCCAACTATAGTTCATATAGCTCTACAACTGCTGTTTCCTGGTTTTCCGTTTCACCTCAGAGTACTACTGGTAAAACCCTACCCTCTGAATACAAGTCTGGCCTGCCCAGCCCTACCTTATCTAGGGCAGCCTGTACAATAGACTCGCTCTGAGTGTCCAGAGCAGAGGTGGCCTCATCAAGCAGCAGGATTTTGGGATTTTTCACCAGGGCTCTGGCGATGGCGATCCTCTGCTTCTGCCCCCCACTCAGCTGGGCCCCCCGTTCCCCGACCATCGTGTTCATCTTCTGTGAGTTGAAACACAAGCAGGCCATTGTATAAAGCTATGGCAAATGTCTTTTGTAATTACATGTTCTATCAAAACAGGAAACCATCTGGTGTTATATGCAATATAAACAATAGAAAAAGTTTTCAACATCACTGAAATAAGTCATGAGGTTTGCTAATAAAAACCCATAACAAGTCTGTGGCCTTACATCAGGGAGTTTAGATATGAACTCGTAGGCGTTGGCCTCCTTCACGGCACGCTCAATGTCCTCGTCCGTGGCGTTCTCCCAGCCGTAGCGGATGTTTTCAGCAATCGTGGTTCCGAAGAGCACAGGCTCCTGGCTGACAATGCCGATGTTCTCCCTCAGCCATTTCACATTGAGCGTGCGGATGTCATGGCCATCCAGAGTGATCTGCAACCCAGCCGCAGAGACACACTGTTATTAATCGCTGTGAGAACTAAGGCTAATGTGTGAGAACATTTTCATTAAAGGAAATATCCTGCTTCTTCGCCATATGATGCAGAACTCAGTGCCTTTGCTGGCCTGTCGGCCATAAAGCCTTGGTGGCCATGATGATCGGCATTCTCACCTCTCCAGCATCTGGGTCATAGAAGCGCTGCAGAAGCTGGATGGTGGTGCTCTTTCCACAGCCACTGGCTCCCACTAGGGCAATGGTCTTTCCACGAGGGACCACCAGATTCACACCCTGTAGGATCTAGTGGGGCAATCAAAGAGATCATCATTATCATCATTGCCTGTGGCCCCCATTGGCGCATAGTCTGCTAACTAGATCTCTCCAGACATTTCGATCATCCTGAGCCAGTCGTTCCAATTGCCCTCAGTAAAGTCCCCAAAGAGGTCTTCACATTCAGTCTATTTATGGAGCTGCTTCAGTGCTATTCCCTAAAACAAACATAGTTTCAGCTAGCTAATTTACCAATTATCATTGGGTTCACCAGGTTATATAAATTACACATTTCAGCTAGCTAATTTAATTTTCAAAACACTTATTTGAATAGCCAAACACTTCTATCGATTTTATATTTCTGTCCCTTTAAAATGGCTGGAGAGTCTCTATTGCGATTAAGTGACAAAAGTATGTCTTTTTCAGAAAGCTGACTAAGCAGTTGTCCCCAGCCTCCCTGGATCTTCTACACCTACTTCTTGGAGCATTTCCCCAGCTAAATTCAACATCCTTCCTCATCATATCTGTCATGTTCTGTGTATAGCAGACTCGACTAACTAAAATCCACTTCACCTTCCCCAAATGGTTTCCTACCTGTTTCTGTTCCCTCACTAATCTTGATTATTTCATTGTGTCCAACTGAGTCGAGTTCTCTTGCTCTATTTTGCCCTGTTCTTCCCAGCCCTTTGTGAGACTGGCACTGTTGTGTCCTGCATTTGAGGATGTATTCTATCCTTCCTGTGTTTTAATCTTTGTCTTTGTGTTCCTGGTTCTGCCGAACCCTTTTGCCTGATTGCCATGCCTGCTTGTTTTTGACCATTGTGTAAAAATGTTGCTAATTTTTCTAGTCACGGGGGTTTGATAAGAGAAGTTTGCTTCTACACCCAAAACTACATCAGCACCTACTTTCACATCCTTCCTGGATGGGTAGCTGAAGTGAATGTTCTTGAATTCTATGTCTCCTTTCACCGTTTCTGGCTTGTGACCTTCCTTTGAGCTGCTGTCAATCGGACGCGGCTGGAATACAAAGGGTCAATTTGCATCAAAACAGTACAGGCTTCCTGTTAATTAGCCAAAGTGACTGTAGCATCAGGCTAATATTGATACCAGGTCGATGGTCTTGTAGATCTCATAGGCCGCCCCACGAGCCTTGGCTACGCTCTCCAAGTTTGGAGTTCCTCGACCCAGAGAAAATGCACCGATCATCACAACAAAAAACACCTGGAAAATGAAAGCGAACATCATAATTGAAGTACATGCACTTCAACAGATCACAATAATACTAAAATACCAAAATATATAGCAAGAAATTAATATATTTCTTAGCACATAAAATATACAGGGAATACAAAATACATAATCATGCACATATCACACACAACTATGATACGTCATTACTGCTAAAATGACAGTCAATGATACCTTACAGTGAGAACTTGTCCAATGGAGTAGTTTTCAGGTTCGTCGACTGCAAGCTTTGTTCCATACCAAAAGGCCAGGGCGTACGTCCCAAATATAATGAACTGAGTGAGTCCCATTGCCGCATTGGTTGTGATGGCCTTCTTCACCCCAAAATTTTTGGCCTCCTCTAAGTTAGATTCGTACCTAAAAGAGAATGGAATAGCACTGTTCACCCCTGTATACTATAAGCTGCTGCTGATATCTCCTCTGACAAATATGTTTATCTATTTCTCTGAAAGAATTGCAGTCACCAAGCCAGCTGATTTGTGCTTTGTGATGGCAATCTCACATCAGCATCGTGCTCTCACTGTAACCCGTTACAGAGCAAAGTGAAATGGACAGTGACACAAGAAATGACATTCAGGAGCTGTAACACAGTTAAAGGGGGCCAATATAAATCCCTGGAATTTCACACAATATAAACCTTTAATGCTATCCATCCATCCATTCATTATCTTCCGCTTATCCGAGGTCGGGTCGCGGGGGCAGCAGTCTCAGCAGGGAAACCCAGACTTCCCTCTCCCCAGCCACTTCTTCCAGCTCCTCCGGGGGAATCCCGAGGCTTTCCCAGACCAGCTGAGAGACATAGTCCCTCCAGCGTGTCCTGGGTCTTCCCCGGGGCCTCCTCCCAGTGGGACATGCCCGGAACACCTCACCAGGGAGGCGTCCAGGAGGCATCCTAATCAGATGCCCGAGCCACCTCATCTGACTCCTCTCAATGCGGAGGAGCAGCGGCTCTACTCTGAGTCCCTCCCGAATGACCGAGCTCCTCACCCTATCTCTAAGGGAGAGCCCAGCCATCCTGCGGAGAAAACTCATTTTGGCCGCTTGTACTGGCGATCTAGATCTTTCGGTCACTACCCACAGCTCATGACCATAGCTGAGGGTAAGAATGTAGATCGACTGGTAAATCGAGAGCTTTGCCTTTTGGCTCAGCTCCTTCTTCACCATGACAGACCGATGCAGCGGCCGCATCACTGCTGACGCCGCACCGATCCGCCTGTCGATCTCCTGTTCCATCCTTCCGTCACTCTTGAACAAGACCCCAAGATACTTAAACTCCTCCCCTTGGGGGAGGACCCCCTCCCACACCTGGAGAGAGCATTCCACCCTTTTCCAGCTGAGGACCATGGTCTCAGATTTGGAGGTGCCCGCCGATGCGGACCAAGCTCTGACACCAGTCATACAGGGACCGAACAGCCCTTATAAGGAAGCCCAGCACCCCATACTCCCGGAGCACTCCCCACAGGACTCCCCGAGGGACACGGTCGAATGCCTTCTCCAAGTCCACAAAACACATGTAGACTGGTTAGGCAAACTCCCATGAACCCTCCAAGATCCTGCTGAGAGTATAGAGCTGGTCCAGTCATGCTGTTACATGGCCAGGGCGAAAACAACACTGCTCCTCCCGAATCAGAGGTTCGACAATCCGACGGACCCTCCTCTCCAGAACCCCCGAATAGACCTTACCAGGGGGGCTGAGGAGTGAGATCCCCTATAGTTAGAGCACACCCTCCGGTCTCCCTTCTTAAAGAGGGGGACCACCACCCCGGTCTGCCAGTCCAGAGGCACTGCCCCCGATGTCCACGCAATGCTGCAGATGATCCTGGTGTCAACCAGGACAGCCCCACAGCATCCAGTGCCTTAAGGAACTCCGGGCGGATCTCATCCACCCCTGGAGCCCGGCCTCCCCTTGGGCCTCCCCACCAGCGGAGCCAACCCACCACCAGGTAGTGATCAGTTGACAGCTCCGCCCCTCTCTTCACCCGAGTGTCCAAGACATGTGGCCGCAAGTCCGATGACACGACTACAAAGTCAATCATCGAACTGTGGCCTAGGGTGTCCTGGTACCAAGTGCACATATGGACACCCTTATGCTTGATCATGGTGTTCATTATAGACAATCTGTGACGAGCACAGAAGTCCAATAACAAAACACCACTCGGATTCAAATCGGGGGGGCTGTTCCTCCCAATCATGCCACACCAGGTCTCACTGTCATTGCCCACATGAGCATTGAAGTCCCCCAGAAGAACAAGAGAGTCCCCAGGAGGAGTGCTCTCCAACACCCCTTCCAAGGACTCCAAAAAACAGTGGGTATTCTGAACTGCTGCTTGGCGCATAAGCGCAAACAAAAGTCAGGACCCGTCCCCCCACCCGAAGGCGAAAGGGAGGCTACCCTCTCGTCCACTGCGGTAAACCCCAATGTACAGGCGCCCAGCCAGGGGGCAATAAGTATGCCCAATAAGTATAGCCATAAGTTGAGGTGAGCCCAATCTTGTCAGAACTTCACAACCTCGCGCACCAGCTCAGGCTCCTTCACCATCAGAGAGGTGACATTACATGTCCCTACAGCTAGCTTCTGCAGNGGCCGCAAGTCCGATGACACGACTACAAAGTCAATCATCGAACTGTGGCCTAGGGTGTCCTGGTACCAAGTGCACATATGGACACCCTTATGCTTGATCATGGTGTTCATTATAGACAATCTGTGATGAGCACAGAAGTCCAATAACAAAACACCACTCGGGTTCAGATCGGGGGGGCTGTTCCTCCCAATCATGCCACACCAGGTCTCACTGTCATTGCCCACGTGAGCATTGAAGTCCCCCAGCAGAACAAGAGAGTCCCCGGGAGGAGCGCTCTCCAACACCCCCTCCAAGGACTCCAAAAAGGGTGGGTATTCTGAACTGCTGCTTGGCGCATAAGCGCAAACAACAGTCAGGACCCGTCCTCCCACTCGAAGGCGAAGGGAGGCTACCCTCTCATCCACTGCGGTAAACCCCAATGTACAGGCGCCCAGCCAGGGGGCAATAAGTATGCCCAATAAGTATAGCCATAAGTTGAGGTGAGCCCAACTATATCTTGTCAGAACTTCACAACCTCGCGCACCAGCTCAGGCTCCTTCACCATCAGAGAGGTGACATTACATGTCCCTACAGCTAGCTTCTGCAGCCGAGGATCAGACCGCCAAGGTCCCCGCCTTTGGTCACTGCTCAACTCGCACTATACCCAACCCCTATGACCACTCTTACAGGTGGCGAGCCCATTGGAGGGGGGACCCACGTGCCTTCTTCAGGCTGTGCCCGACCAGGCCCCATGGGTGCAGACCTGGCCACCAGGTGCTCGCCATCGAGCTGCACCCCCAGGCCTGGCCCCGGTGACCCACATCCCATCGTGGATCCAATGTTTTTCTTATCATAAGTGGTCTAGTTAGCCGCACTTTGTCTGGTTCCTCACCCAGGACCTGTTTTCCTTGAGTGACCCTACCAGGGGCATAAAAGCCCCGGGCAACATAGGTCTTGCGATCATTGGAACAAGTAAACCCCTCCACCACGATAAGGTGTCAGCTCCAGGACAGGCCTTTAATGCTACTGTTGAGAATATTTTTTTTTACATGTTTACATTTCCCAGTGGGGCATCTGTTGATTGGGAAAGCGAGACGTACTTCTCCACTGCTTTCTTCTGCCCATTGAAAGCCACGACTGTCCTGATAGCCACAAGAATTTCCTCAGCAACTGCTCCTGCCTTGGCATATGCTGAAAGCTCCTTACTGGTCAGGGAGGCAATGATCTAAAGAGAGCACATAACAGTCAACAATGTTACTCAAAAAAGTGAGACCACAGGGGACGAATACGGGTTCTTCAGTGCCTGACTTCCTACATTCCTTAATATTTGTTATATAACCTCATTGGACAATCATCATGAGAAGGTTGGTTCTTCCTACCTTGGACCAGACTGCAGCAGATCCAGCAAGAAGTGGACTGACTGCTAGGATGACAAGGGTCAGCTTCCAACCATTGATGAACCCAATGATGAGGCCAGCAATGAATGTGCAGAAAAACTGCACAAACAAACAGATCTTGTCTCCCAGCCCATCGTTGATTGTGTTAATATCACTAAACAACAATAAAAAGTTCAAAACAGTTCAGCGTCTTCATTATGAAGAAAGGAGGAATAGGAATAACATTTTAGCAAGCAAATATGACAATATATACTTCTTGAACATAATGTCCATCTTCTAACTACATATTCTGATCAAGCTTGGGGGGGAAGGTCTGGTGCCTATTTAAGGCAGCACAGGACACACCTGCAGTACACCCTGGCTGGACACACGCACACACACACTAATATACTATGAGCAATATAAAGGTGCCAGGTAGCCTAGCTGTATGCCTTTGGACTGTGGGAGGTAAATGGACTATCTGCTGGAAGCCTACGCAATGCAGGAAGAGCATGCAAACTCCACACACAGAGTAGAGGCACTTGGAAATACAGTGAAATAGAAATGTCTGCATCATCCTACATCACCTACCATCTATAATTCAAAGACAATCAGTCAATTCATTGTTTTATATTAATGCTAAAGATCAGTCCCTTTTGACTTCATTACAACTAATCTATCCACCCAATAGATATCACCAGCCTAGTATCCAGATATACTCACTCTGTCAGTCTGGTAATTAGCACTCCGATCTGATGTGTGTCAAACCATCCCATTTGCTGGTGGATCACTGAATGGAAGTATCTCTCACGGATCCTTTTTGTCTGTCTGGTAGCTGCCAGCAGGAAAAGCATGACTTGAAATGTTCCAAGAATGAGTACTGCTACTCCAATCCCCACAAAGTAATAGGCACGACTGTGAAAGGAACAGGCAGCAGAGTTTTATATTGCATCTGTGAAGATCCTTCACCTGACAGTAGCAGTGAATGCACGAGTAACATTCATCAAGGACACTTACTTAGCCATCATGGATTCGATATCCACTCCAGGCATGGTAGGACAATTGTCAGAGCTGGCATAACTGGGAGTAAAATTGCCTGAAGCTGATAGAAGATAAACAATGATGTTACTCATTGAAGCAGAAATTTCCTCAGCCATATTTTTGATGCCAGTATAAGACTGGCACAAGGAAAATGTCAAATACACATAAATCAATATTCTTCATCCATGTGTACATCATCCGAACTGTGGGCTACTGGCAAGTTCCCAGAAATTCCCACCTGTAAGGTTTAAGGGTTGACCGCTCTGGACGAAGCTGTCCGTCATCTGGCCAAAGACCACACACATGAGCGGCAGAGCGACCCCATTGGCTGCGGCACAGATTAGCCCCACAATCATTAAAATAATATCCAGAGGTTTGGCAAAGCGGTACTGTGGCAAAGTAGGAAACAAAATATAATATTACACAGGTTCTTTTTTTGGAAAATCCACTTCACATAATTTCATGGAATATCACAGAATTGTGTTCTTACTAATTGGAAAAATCCAACCAGCTTCGCTGGTTCCTTTGGTTCCTTTTTTTTTCTTCTAGATGAAGAAAGGAGAAGAACGTTACAAAGCAACGATGGAAACAGGCCTCAGGCCTCTCCAGCTATACATATAGTATATGGGGACATGGCTAAGTGAAGGGAAAACCAGCATGACTGATAGATTAGATTAGATTAGATTAATTGATTGACTGATAACATACATACAAGGTACTAAGAATACTAATTACTACAGAGTACCTATAGTATTTAGTGGTACAATATTTGCCAGTGGATGCAGTGACAAGGGAATCCACAAGAAGATGATGTAATTTACAGCTTACTAAAAATATAAATGTTATAATACAATAATGCTAAAAATAGTATAATAAATACTAGAAATGCTATAAAACTGTAAATGTTATATATACAATAAATACCATAGCACTATAAACTGTGGATAAGGAGACATTTGGAAATACTGAATACAGAGCTTATATAACATTGAACAGAGAGAAGTTAAGTCACTTCAATCACTCAGAGGAACTGAATAGTCTTGTGGCCTGGAGAACAAAAGATTTCTCTCAGTCTGTCAGTAGAGCAGGACTGAGACAATAGTCCGCCACTGAACATACTGTGCAGAGGGTGGCTGGCATTGTCCATGATGGACGGCAGTTTGTCCAGAGTCCTTTTTTCCGTCACTGAAACTAAGGGATCCAGTTGCATTGCAACTACATGTGCAGCTGTCCTCACCAGCCGGTCCAGTTTGGTAGCGTCCCTCTCCTTAACCGCGCCGTAGAAGAGAACACTGGCAACACCAGACTGGTATAAGATCAGCAAGAGCTTCCTACAGATGCCGAAGGACCCCAGCTTCCTCAGCTTCCTCAGCTTCCCAGCTTCCTTAGGAAGTAGATCCAGTTCTGCCCCTTTCTGACTAGCAAATCAGTGTTGGCTGACCAATCCAGTTCATCGTCCAACTGCAGTCCTAGGTACTTGTAGGTCCTGACCACCTCCACATTGATCCCATCATTGGAGACTGTTTGCACAGCAGGCCTGGACCTCCTGAAGTCCACCACCATCTCCTTGATCTTGGGGGTGATCAGCTGCAGATGGTTCAACAAGCACTGTCCTCCACCAGGCTCCTGTACTCCCCCTCCTGTTCATCCCTAATACATCCCACAATTCCAAGGTCATCCGAAAATTTCTGCATGTGGCATGATTCCAAGTTGTACTTGAAGATATACAGGATGAAGAAGACAGGGGAGAGCACAGTCTCCTGTGGTGCACGGGTGCTACTGACCACAGCCTCTGAGGAGCAGTCCCTCAGCCTGATGTACTGTGGTCCACCTGTGAGGTCGTCCATAATCCAGAATCCCAGGAAAGAGTCCACCCTCATCTCTGTAAGCTTTTCTCTCAGTGGAAGGGGCAGGTTGGTGTTGAGGGTGCTAGAGAGACTGAAGAATGTGATCCTCACAGCACCGCTCCCCTCGTCCAGGTGTGAATAAGCCCTATGCAGCAGACAGATGACGGCATCCTCCACACCCAGCTTCTCACTATAAGCAAACTGCAGAAGGTCAAGTGCATGGAGGGCCTGGTGTCTGAGGAGATGTTCCAAGGTCTTCATCATGTGTGATATAAGGGCAACTGGCCTGAAGCTGTTCGGCACACTGCTGTTTGCCTTCTTGGCACTGGGATGAGGCACAGTGTCTTCCACAGTGCGGGGACCCCCACTCCGGCCGCAGGTTCAGATTAAAAACATGTTGGAGGAGCTCCCCCCGTTCAACAGCACAAGCCTTAACCCATCCAGGGCACACCATATCCGGACTGGGTGGGGTCTCAGCTATCTGCTGACCTGATCTGCGGTGGATGGGAGTTGATGTCAGCTTGGGGGAAGGGGAGAGCGTCGGTAGCTGATGGGGGAGGCGGAGGTGTGAGAACTGGACAGGTGTTGAAGAGTGGTGAGAGTGGGGGTGTTGATTTGGCTGTAGCGGCAGGAGCAGTGCTATCAAACCTGTTGAAGCAGTGCTATCAAACCTGTTGAAGCAGTGCTATCAAACCTCGCCACGTCTGCTATGCTGCTGCTCTTCTTCTTGCCGCCCGTGATGGTTTCATGCTGCCGCTCTTCTTCTTGCCGCCCGTGATGGTTTCATGCTGCCGCTCTTCTTCTTGCGGCACGTGATGGTTTTCATGCTGCTGCTCTTCTTCTTGCGGCCCGTGATGGTTTTCATGCCCACCACCTTTGTTTTGTACTCCTTCTTTGCCTCTCTCAGCCAAACCCTGAGTTCCCCATGAACGCTTTGATGAGAACAACAACATCTAAACAGAATTTGAGGTAGTCAGCGACTACGGGCCTTTGGACTGCCATGAGCCAACAGAATACCTCCATATAGACCATAAACTTTATCTGAGAATCATACATCCATGAGATACTCAACAATTTCATGTTTGGTGACTTAGTACTGTGTCGAATAATGAACAAATCTCTCACAAATTTTCAAATGAGCTACGATCCACTAACTAATTTTATGACATGATTCCGTTCCCTGTCATAACCTGAGACATTCTCACAAGAGTACTTGTGAAGCTCTCAAACAACTTATTACTTTAAGTACAACCTACACTAATGTCCAAAACTGTGGAAACATTTTTGGCATTACACTTTAAAGATTATTACAGAAATATTTGCGGTTATGTTTACAAACAATCAAAGAATGTTACAGATATCAAGGATGATTAAATCAGAAACTGGCGCAACAGTTAAAGTTCTGCAATCTCTAAAAATTCTGTTCCATAATTTTGGTCACTAGTATATATTATTGATAAAATAATTTATGCTATGATTGTTGCATCATACTATTTAAAAGGAGGCATGGAGGAACCTTTCTATGAGATGAGTTCTGAAAATCTTGTTTTAACCACTGACATCAAATACTTTGCCCTAAAATTAGACACTATATGAATTCTGACAGTTGTCCTCAAATTTCTCTTTTAATAAACGAAATCATATATATAAGAGCATTTTCTTTCCTAATCAAAAAAAGCAAACGGAGATTGTCAGGAATTGCTTTTTTCCGTGAAAACTGGCCGTCTCCGTTTACCTAAACAATCCTTTTTCATTTGACGCCGGAGTCGGCTCCTCCGGAGGTGGGGGGTCCTTCTCATCCTCTCTGGGATTCTCGTCTTCCAGGAAGGCGTCGTTGATATAGGAATTCGCGTACACCTCGTCCTTAGAAACTAAAGACAGGAATCGAAATGTTTTTCAATAATCACATACCTTTTCAATCACAGATCCCGACAACTTCAAAATAAATTATCCTGTCAACCCGTTACAATATTAGATACATTTAACATTTTCAGATCATTGTGCATTATGTAAATCAAAAAAATACCTTCACCGGGCATTGTGTCTGGTAGAGCTTCTTCCTCCGTTATGCTGCTTTTTTATCCTTGTAATTAAACTCCTGAAATCGACTGACAGAGGAAACATATTTGTTCTTGGGGGGCGCACATAAACGGCAACCCTTACCTCTCTACGCCGCTTTAGATAAAATGAACGTCGCTTTACATAAAAATCGTCAAAAAAATAATAAAATGTAAAGTCAATTAAAGATACACCTATGCAAATCCTAAATATGAGTTTATGCCACCGATTTTTCTTAAATGTAAAATACATGAAACACATGAAAACAATGAGAGTGCCGTGGATAGTGTTTAAATGTTTTTAAACGGACGACGAATCCCCAAATATATTATAATAGGTACCCTAACTGCAAACTGCAGTTCCGAGTCACAGACTCCTGCTATCAACGACTGTAGCTCCATTCAGCGCCTTTTCAGGAGAAACACGTTTTACAAAAACAACCCTATACCGTTTTCTCAGAATTTTTAAGACAAAACCAGTAAAAATTCATCTGAGCATTAAATCACGTGGCAGTAGTATGGAAACACACCTATAACCAGGCGGGAACCAAATGTCCCGGTCTAATGAGAACCGGTCGCTAGCAAAATTTATGACCCCCACCCCAGTCGGCGGCAAAATTTCAAACGAGGGCTACTTTACAGCAAATTACCGGGCTCCTATTTATTGCCGGTCCACCCCTGCCTATATAACCATGTGAGTCGCTGCAATTGCTGTTTGATTCGATTTACTATTTACGTTTGTGCCTCTGTATAGAACCTTGCCATTTGCCCTGTGCTATTTTAACGTTATGTTTCCCTGTGAATAAAGAAGACTTTCTTGCCATAGGTTATGGCTGGCGAGCAGTGCAATCACACAAGAAGTACTAGGGCTTTATATTCATGAGTCAGAGAAGACTAACGAAAACAGTGGATATGCATCACGAATGCATTACATAACCTGGAATCATGTCCGTATCTACCATTGCGAACACTGAGGTCTAGTCCTCGATAATTGTTCTTTTTCATTCTTTAGTCACTGAAATGATTTTTTCAAAATGATTATTGCTGCTCTCAAAGAGAGGTAAAAATTAGTAATTTATGCCCACACTGTATGCCCACGGCGGATCATGCCTCCCCTGAAAAGGACTAACATTTTTGACCTCGGTGTTTGAAAGTCCTGGCTATTCGGCACTGTATACAACAAACAGCATCTAACTACAGTAGCCTAAACACCCGATATATCTGATAAGTACTGGGACTTTCCTGAAATATCTCAACAATATTTCAAGAGCATTCCGGACGTATTTCAAAATTTATAGTACATCGGCTACGGGAATTCCGCTTATGTAAAAACAAAAGCTACAGAAGAAGAGGAGGAAATTTATTAGATAGATTGAATGGACACCATTTCTATTACCTATATAGTCCATATTCATATGGTAAATAATATGGTATTATATTTAGTGACTAACATATTTCATCTGCACTTAATGAATCACTTTTATTTCAACACTCAGTTTCCAAAATCAAGTTACGAGATGTGCGCTATTCGAGTTCTTCCAACACTTTCCAGCAGTTTCCAAGGATTAACACCGAATAAAATCGAATAAAGGTAGGTCTACATATAAATAAAACGTCCATGGCAGCTAGTAACAATGACGAAAAGATTTTCGAAAACACCAAAATGATTCAATTTTCTGACATTAATTTCACGGTGATATGAAAACTACAGGCACCTTTCTACGTTTCAGACTAACTCCTCTAAAACCGAAAAAATAAATCCGTAGGAAATCCGCTACGTTTTTATTTTTAAAGTACTGAAAGTACTTGACATTGACATTATACACAGAGCAATTGTGATGTGTGAAGTGTTTCGTGTGGTGAAAAATTCGATCATTACTGTAAAATAAACTAGACAAATAAATTGAAAAGAATGAATAACTTACATAAAACGCCGACAGATGACCCGTATTGTACGTAGCGAATTGATGGGTTACGATGTGTGGTTTTCTAATCTTTGTCAGTATCACTGACAAGTCGCTTCAGGTGAAATTATATATATATATGACATCACATTTCCTACCGTATTGTCGTGTGTCGTTAAAATTGCAAATGTCCCTTCACCTACATATGAAGGCGGCGCCATGCTAATTAATATTCAGATATGAGGCGTGAACAAGCCGAGGACGGTATGTGAACTCTGAGCGCCTTAATCCGAAGATGCTCTTGCATCACAGTAAATTTGTAATGTCCCGAGCATTTACTTTTATTTTCACTTACTTAAGTGTAGATTAAATATGTTACTCAATAAACGACTATATTTCCATATTATTTACCGTATGAATATTGAATATAAAGAAAATGACTAATAATTCAGAATCATACGTACCATAATAATATTTAATATAGTGGATTTATGTTACTTTCCCAGATGAACCGATATTTCAAATCCCATCTTCGCTGTGTGTGTGGAGTTTGCATTTCCTCGTTTTCCACCCGCAGTTATACACTAACCGACGTAAATAAGCGCCTGTAATCTGTGAAGGTACGTGCCATGTAAGTCTAAAGTATAGAGACTCTAGAATCCAAAATATGCCTATCAAGTCACCAATTCCTCCAAACGCGGTGTGACGATCCATCTCGCTCCGTCGCCGCCCCCCCATCCCCCCCGATGGAGCTCCCTCAGCAGAGTATTAACAGCTATCTTGTATTGCGAGATCACATTTTGCCTAATTTCTCTGTCCCTTTTACCGGTCTAGCCGGTTCTCCTGCTGCAAGGAATTGTAGAGTCACGTCCGATTACCGAGCGTTACTCATCCTTGCTTGTCGCCTAGTGCCTGATTCTCCTCCCCTTGTGGATTTTCACGGGTGCGGTCCCTTGCCATGTGTGTGTAATGTGTGTGTGTGTGTGTGTGTGTCCCAATCCCTTTCTTGGTGCAAGTGTGTGCCTTCACATGCCAGGACAAACTCCCGGCTTTTGACCCCTGCCTCTTTTCGCGACTGCGACTGCTGCTTCTCGTTTCGGTTCTCCGACCGCACTGCGTTTGGATCCGAGGAGGTTCGTTAAACACGACAAGCAACTGTATGGGTTACAAACCCAATTCAGTCTTTATTCGAGTCCCCATACAGAAAGCTGCAGCCAGAGTTCTCACTAAAACCAGGAAAGTGTAGCATATTACATATACATGTGCAATAAATTACTGCACTGGCTTCCCGCGAGTCACATGACTGATATTTTTTTTAATGTGACTTGTCTATAAAGCACTAATAGGTCTCGCACCTAAATACATTTGATTTATTTGAACGTTAGGAAGCATCCAGACCCCTGAGGTCCTCAGGGACAGATTTACTCAGTGTTGAGGATGTTAGCAGCTGTTTGCTCCACCTATTCAGTAAATTCAACGGTAGGACTTCATTCATGCACTAGCAGAACAATGCAACATTTTTAGTTAACAGTTTGCTTTGGCATGCATTTGCCTTTGTCTTGTAATGTAATTTCAATGTCTTATATTTTTACTGCAGGGCATATGGAACTGTAATGGACTTTTAATTGCCGTGTGTCTGAATGTACTATATAAATAAAACACAGAGCTAATCTGATACCCTCATCAACACTCACTGAGTGCTTGAAGAGCACTGGCCAGTGGCCGACCCTGCACTGTCACCCTTAAGCTTCATGTCACTTGTGTGTCTCATGAAGAACAAGATTGGAGAGGCAAAGGCAAAGGACATGTCCCTACCAAAACTGTGGGGGTGCCGTCTGTCTTCAGGGAGGCAGGGGGTTTGGTGCTGATCTGGTCCCTCCCAGTGTTGAAACCAAACGTACCCCTTTGCCCATGGATATAAATAAGATTTCTCTTCTGGTTCATGCAGTGTTCATGTAACAGTTAAGAGCCAAGATCACTACTACTTATGCGAGATTCAGGGTCTGAAGATCATTAACCATCACGCCTGTATGGTTTAGATGTCATATATGCTTATATTATGATATATGATGTAGAGCCTGGTTAGTAAATGTGTGTAAATGCGGACATCTCTGCATGTTCCTCCTGCAACATCACACTAGGATCCTCAGGGGGGCATCAAACAGGACAGAATCCAGCCCCAGTTCACCCTATTCACACTCCTACCATTACATAGATGCTATAGTGGGAAATCATGGACCACAAGGCTGCGGAACAGCTTCTACCCACAGGCTGGGAGAGTTATTTTAGTTTACATTTTTTTACCTATTCTTGTCATTTGTTTGTTTATTGCTGGTGTAGTAAATGCAATACAATCCTTTGATTTCCCAAGTATATGGCTGGACTTTGTTGCTATGTAGTGCTGGATTTCTTACTCAGCCTGATAACTTGTCGGATTTAAGGTTAAGCTTGAATGCACTTTATCTTTGTTCACTCACATCTAGCCCAGACTATCTTAAATCTGGTCTAAATGGTTGGTTGGAATGAAAACATTCTACCAGGGGTCTTCCAAGAACAGGACTGAGATTCACTGTTTTACACTGTTTACTATGTTTACATTGCACTCAGGACCGGCCTAGCCGACATGGCACCCTAGGCGAGCATCACCACGACACCCTCATCCGAGGCAAAATGTAATCGGCTGGCAAGCTGGTGCCCCCTCAGAAGCTGGAGCCCTAGGGGGGCACCTGTACTGCCATTGGACTGAACAGCCCCGATTTCACTGCATGTTACTATAGCAGCCATCATAAGTTGGAATGTTATTCTTTAAACAATTATTTTATCAATCTAATACAATTAACCACTTCTAGAAAATGAACAACTGTAGACTGTTTAATGTGTTATACTGATACACAGGTTACCGATAAAACAATCATGTGGTTCCCAATGTCCACTCCTTTATTCACACAAAAAAAAAACTTTATTGCCTTTTTGACACATAACCCTTATGTGTTATACTGATTTTCACACTTAAACAGAAAGTACCCAACTCTATACCAATGTCATTTACAGTTATATTGCACCATGTCTACATATATATTGTATTACTGCAATTATGCCTTAATTTATACTTTATTTATACATAAAATTTCATTTCATGGTGAAACTGACTATATACTCTGTACATGACATGATATGTCCCTTAAGTCTGTCTTTAAGTCAAATTTGTAGGTTTGTGGGTCAGGCATATGAGATTCTTATTTAGTGTCAGTCAAACGTTTGTCTTCGTATATATTTTACCTTTCTGCCCATATAAACAACTTCCAAATACACTAAAACATCCTAAAAATAAAGTACATAGTAACAAAAGTAACAACACAATACTGTACTGTACCTCAAGCCGACAAACCACTGAAGCTACCCAATGTTTTCATGAGCGTCACCAAGTAGTGCATGTGTTTCTTATTATAAACCACCGTATTTAACTTAATTTTTAATATAATAGGCTTATTGGCAGCCCACTCATAAGTCTAAGTTGTCTGTAAGTGCCGGTATCTTGAATCCCCGTCTCAGTGAGACACCTGGGCATTTACTAGGGCGTAATAGGCCCCCTCTCTCTGCATGAGTTCGCTGTGCGTTCCTTGTTCGACCACCCTTCCATTCTGGATGACGGCGATGGTGTCTGCGTTCTGGATGGTGGAGAGACGGTGGGCGATGACCACACAGGTGCGACCGAGCCGCGCCTTGTCCAGAGCCTGCTGCACGATCTGGCCAGCGGACAGCAAGTTTGTGTGAGACGCGGGATTCTCAAATCTCAGGAGGCTGCTAATGGCTGGTTTACTCAACAAAAATTTTGTGCCATAAAACTAATGCATTTAATACACCACTGGGCATTCTTCCAAAATGTGTAAATGAGTCTGACCTTTTCGCTCTCGGTGTCCAGTGCGGAGGTGGCCTCGTCCAGCAGCAGCACCTTTGGGTGACGCACTAGTGCCCGGGCGATAGCAATCCTCTGCTTCTGCCCCCCAGACAGCTGGGCACCTTTGTCCCCTACCCTGGTGCTGTATGTCTGTCAACCAAATTTGCATATAAAAATGCTTGCAATTTTTATTAACTTTCAAATGGAGTCTAACATTGGTTGCAATAAACTCAGAAACCAGAACACATTTCCTGTTCTGCATCTTTAAAATGAGGTTCACGTCCATTATAGATCTAATTATCTGTAGGTTTGAACCACATATAAATACATTTATTTTATATTTTTCAAATCAAAATGATACATATGTATATATACTGTAAGTTTCATGTGTCCGATCCCAGGATCTGACCCCGGTTATCCTTCCTAGATCATCTTCAACTGATTATCAAAAACACCTGTCACTCAATCCTACACAAGCAGTTTCTCAGTAGACTGTGAAGTAGTTTGAGCTCCTTACTAAGCAGATTCTTTGTCATCTATGATCTCTGATCTGATCTCTGTCACTTGTGTTCAATAAACCGACCCCAGCCAGCAGAAGGAGCACCATGAAACACGGTGAAGTTCACTTTACGCACCACATGGGCCTCAACCGGCACTACCTGCGTTTTCGGACCCTGTGCCTGAATTCTCGACTTAATCTTTTGGATTGTGTTCAGCCTCAATATGGTTTCTGATGTTGTGCCTGATTATTGACCCTGAGTTTTGGATATGATTTTTGGCTGTTGGAGAAATAAACATCCTTGATTCACCCCACACACCTCCGCCCTGACTCCATGTTTGTGAGTTTTGCATGTTCCCCCCATGTCGTTGTGGGTTTCCTCTGGGTTCTCTGGTTCCCACCCACAGTCCAAAAACATGCTAAGGGGCTGTCACCTGTATATCAGTCTTGTGGAGAACAAGATAGAATAGGTATAAAGAGCATTTCCCTATGGCGGTTAGTAAAGTATCACTATTTCTATTAAATATCGCTTTTAGTTGGACCGAGTTTGAGCCACAAAATTTTGCAGCTTGATTCAGTTACATCGCGGAAGTTGAGGAACCCCACTGAATAAAATCCATACCTCTGGAAGACTCTGGATAAAGGTATGGATATTGGCACTCTTGGCCGCTTCCTC